GCCAGGCTCACCCCACAGAGACGTGCCCCTGGGTCAAACCCATCACAGGCAGCACCTTCTCTGGGGGCAAGGGGTCAGAGTGCTCCAGCACTACTCCCACCCCTTTCCTGGGAACGCATGTGTTCACACTGTAAGAGCTGAGAAAGAGCATGAAGTGGCATGGAGGAAAAAGATCTCCTCAGGCTTGACTGTAGCGGGAGAGACTGGGCTGAGAGCTGGCAAGTGGAGTTTCAACGCAATCCGAGGGGACCTCCAGGGACATCTTGAGGGGTGGAGTTCTGCCTCCCTCCTCTGGTGAGTTACCTACCTGCAGCTTCAGCAATCTTCTCCCCCCACCCCACCCCCCAAGTTCTTCCTTCACCCAACTGATTTCTGAAACAACAAAATACGAGGCACCTTGACATTTACAAAACACGGAAACATCTACTGCTATGCCATGTCATCCACCCAGGGCCTCTGATTTTAGATGCGTTTAATGGCCTTGGTTACAGAGAAGGAATCTGAAGCTCAGAAAGGTGAAGTGACTGGCGTGAGGCCACACAGCTAGTGACTGGATGGAGCTCATTGGGAAACCCCCAGCCACTCCCATAATTCATTGCGCGTGTCCCCCCACCCCAGAGCACCCAGCTCCAATTCAGGATGAAAGAGATGGGGTGCGCCTCCACTGCTCCTTCCTGTCCTTTGCTCCTCTTTCCTTCAGCTCCACTCCTCAGCCCCTTCCTTGCCTTCCCTCCCGGGGTCTTCTGCCTCTCTCTTCCTCACCTGTGCCTCCCCATCCTCTGGGTTGGTTCCAGTCCTTCCTTCCATCTGTATCATTCCTGTCTCCATCTGTACCCTCCATCACCTGGGGCATCCCAGGGACCTCACAGGAGTGGGCATCACAGACACCTCAGAGCATTCAAAGTACCCCAGGCATCTTAGGTTCCAGGCTCAGTCTAATCAAACGCTCACGGCTACCCTTAGGGCGGTATTACTATCTCCTCATTCAGCGGGTGAGGAGACAGAAGTTTGGAGAACTGGACCAGGTGGCAGAGGTCTCCAAGAGCAGCACTTCTCAAATGCCAATTTGTACCCAGATCCCCTTTGTAAAGTGCTGCTTCCGGTTTAATACCTGGAGGTAGACTGACTCCCTGGAAGGAAAATCTGCATTTCTACAAAGCTGCTGATCCCTGGACCACAATGTAAATAGAAAGGTCTAGTTGAACAAGGCATGGTGGCACAGCTCTGTAATCCCAGCAGCTCTTCACCGAGGCATGAGGACTATAAGTTCATGGCCTGCCGAGGCTACAAATTAAGTTCAAGGCTAGCTCCAGCAACTTAATGAGACCCTGTCTCAAAATAAAATGCAAAGAGGGCCAGGAGTATGGCTCAGTAGTAGAGTGAATGCCTAGTGTGGGGGAGGTCCTATGCTCCATTTCTGGGGCTGAAACTGAAAATAACTAGAGGAGATACAAGAGTCAAGCAAGACAGCTTGGGCCTAGTCATGGTCTCTCGGGACATGTCTGTGGAGAAAGAGGAACCTGAAGTGGGCTGAGTGCAAGACTCCTGTCTCCCTAGTGATATGGGAAAGGCAGATACAGGGACTACAGAAGTGCCCAACATCTGCCTGTTCCAGGCCAAGAAGTTGTTGGAATCAGTTCCTGCCAACTCAGCCAGTTTTGAGTGCATGCTTGAGTTGAGAGGCTAAATGAGGCCCAGGCTATGCGAGGGAACCCTGGGTCTATGTTGCTCACTCATGTCTGCCAAGCAATGCCGCGCCATGGTCTCTCTGAAGCTTAGCCTCACTCACAGGTCTCCAAATCCCTGAAGCATGGAATCCTGCTTTCTTCCCTCTTGGCATTCCCAAAGTCCAGTGAGATTAGTAGAAGGAGGGGCAAAGGGCAGGAGAAAGGCAAACATGATCAAACATCCTCATTTTGTCCAAGATCAAAAAGTTCTCTTTTTTTCTTTTTAGAATTTCATACATGAATACATGTTTCACAGATATACACCTGCCTCTGCCTCCAGAGTGCTGGGATTAAAGGCGTGTCCCACCACTGCTGGCATCTCAAGTCTTCTGAGAAGTGCTTTTGGTGTATTTTCTCCTTGGACCCTCTACACAAGCCACATGAGCTAATTACTGTTGCCCTCTCTGAAGGATGAAGTAACTGAATCTCAGAGAGGGAGAGTGGCTTGGCTAAGTGTGCACAGCCAGCAAAGGGCAGTGATTGAACCCGATGGGACCCCATGTACTATACAATCAGTTCTTATAAAATACCTGGTGTGGGCTCAATGGATGACAAATGCTCCCTTGGTGGAACAGTACTGTAGGTTTATATTTCAACATATGTACACAGACACACGCTACTGGACAGTGAGTCCGCCCCTGCACAGTGGAGCTCACCCCTAACTTGGGAGGAGTTGATTACCTAGCAAATTATACTGGGCGGGGGGAGCAGAGAGTGACACAGAAGATGTAGTCCAGGTTCAAAGGACACTCTACAGAAAATGGACAGGCCAGACTGTCAGGACTGGGCCACCTGCACAGCCTGGGTCAGGCCCCACTGCTGGGAAGAGCACGTCGTTGCCCCGGAGACAGTCCCTGGCCCAGGCATTGGTGGTGGAGCCAGTCACTGGCTCCTAAGTGGTAGAATTCTGGTGGCAGCACAGCCCACAGCTTCTTCCATGGAGACGGCACGGCTGTTCAGCCACAAGGTCCCACTGGCTGTCCACTGCTCCCTCCCCATGGACTGGCCTAAAAAGAGATTGTGTATACAAGAGTTGAGAGCCTCGGGACCCAACCACAGAGAGGGTTGGCGCTGGGCCAAGAAGTGTCCTGATGGTGGAAGGGCCATCTCCAGATAACCTCAGCTTCTAAGTGCTGCCCATGGGGCCTTGATCCTGTCAAAACCCTAACACCTGCTCTCTATGTCGGTTTCCAATCCCATGCTACCAGCCCTAGATGGAGTGTATAACCTCTTGGAACTTCCCTGAGCTGAAAATAGATGGACTGACTATAAACAGAACACCTAAGATCCCTCCACCAGCTTCCTGTAGCCACCCTTCTACTGGTCCCTCTCTCATTGTCTCTCCCAACAGCGCTGGCCCGAGTCATTGCCTGTTTCCTGCTCAGTCCCTTCTCTTCTCTAGCTCCCTGGTCGACCTTTTCTGGGCACCCAAACAGTTGTCCCTCTGGACTCTGTTTCTCTGCTTCTAGCCATTGGCCAACGCATTTCTCATCCCAGCATCCCTTTCTCTCCCATAGCCTCGATGCCCTCTGGCCTCTTTGTCCCTTGCCCTCTCTACCTCTATCCTATTTGCTTTTCTCTCTGTCCATCCTTGCATGTGAGTATTCCGTTTCTATGCCTTGTCTTCCTCCTAGACTTTACTATGGACCTGAGGTTATTCAGACGTCCTCCCTATTCTCCTCCCTCCCCCCAGTCCACTCCAACCCGCCCCATCTGCCTGAGACAATGATCAGGAGCTGGAAGAGATCTGTCCAGAGCTTGCTCCCCTGAGCGATGGCTTCTCTCTCAGCCCTCTGAGCTCCATCCATCCACAGTTCCCATTTCCC